CCACATCCGGTCTGGAATCAACAACCATATCTGGTCTGGAATCAACAACCACATCCGGTCTGGAATCACCATCCACATCCGGTCTGGAATCAACAACCATATCTGGTCTGGAATCAACATCCACATCCGGTCTGGAATCAACAACCATATCTGGTCTGGAATCAACAACCACATCCGGTCTGGAATCACCATCCACATCCGGTCTGGAATCAACAACCATATCTGGTCTGGAATCAACATCCACATCCGGTCTGGAATCAACAACCATATCTGGTCTGGAATCAACATCCACATCCGGTCTGGAATCAACAACCACATCCGGTGGAAATTCAGCATCCGGTCTGACATTTACATCTAGTATATCTACTTCCGCTACAACATCCACATCCGGTATAACATTCACATCCGGTATAACATCTACTTCCGGTATAATATCCACATCTGGTATAACATCCACATCTGGTACAACATCCACATCCGGTATAACATCCACATCCGGTATAACATCTACTTCCGCTGCAACCTCCACATCCGGTATAACATCTACTTCCGCTACAAAATCCACACCCGGCCAGACATCCACCGTCAATGCAACATCCACACCCGAGCCGACACCCACAACGACATCTACAACGATACCTAAAACGACACCTACAACGATACCTACAGCAATACCTACGACGAATTCCGAGACGACACATACAACGATACCTACGACGACACCAACGACGACATCTAAGACGACGCATACAACGATACATAAGACAACATCCGAGACGATATCCACGACGACATCTACAACGATACCTTCGACGACATCTACAACGATATCCGATACGACACCCACGACGACATCCAAGACGACATCGACACCGACAACGACAACGACACCGACAACGACAACGACAACGACAACGACACCGACAACGACACCGACAACGACACCGACAACGACACCCACGACCGCGCCGACAACGACATCCACGCGGAGAACCACAGAGAAGTACAAGCCTGGAAGCATGCCCAAACCGTGCTGTCTTCCTGACAAGTTCAGCGCCACCGAGTTCGATATGGGTCAGATGGTAAGGGATT